AAGAGGCAGTTGACCGAAGGGACAGAGACGGTGGAGGGGGAACCAGAGGAAGAACCTCAGAGGGATTTTCAGGCAGGCGACCGGTAAGGGATGCGTCCCGGCCGCCCGTAGAAGATAGCTCGTGTAAATACTGCAGCACGCGTAAGCCAACGCCAATGCCAAAGTTTCACCGAGTCATCGTGAAGAAAAAGAGGAGAAACGCATCCTCCACCCGTGAGAACAAGAAGACCCCAAGGGCAGCAACGCCCAAGGTAGCAGTCTCCCCCCCAGCCATTTACGTCCTTTCCAAGCAGTCCCCCAGATCTCTTAACCTCACAGTGAAACTGACCGCCCTAACCTCCCTTGCGTCGGTATCTGTATCAGCCCTCCTGGACTCAGGAGCCACCGGGAACTTCGTAAGCCCCGAGTTCGTCCGAAAGCACAACCTAGAGACAACCCCCCTTCCCCAGCCCATTCCCGTCCGTAATGTCGATGGAACCCCGAACGAAAATGGAGCTATAACAGAAGAGCTAGAAGCCCTCCTGACCTTTGGGCGACACACGGAGCGGGCACGCTCCGCGGTTGCAAATCTCGGGCGCCAGTCCCTCATCATAGGACACTCGTGGTTGCTGCACCACAACCCAGAAGTGGACTGGGTACGACAAAGAGTCGTCATGTCCCGCTGCCCGTCCTCCTGCAGACAACCGCGAATACAAGATGATCAGGACCCGGTACTGGAGCCTGGGGATGGGATCTACGCTGCTATCATTCCCCCAAGCTGGGGCCATGACCTGAGAGCCACCACGACCCCCTCGCAGCGGATGGCCCAAGAGGCCCGCGACCCGGAGGCTGAGCCTGCGTCGTTTGAGACGCTAGTACCAGAGCACTACCAGGACTTCCGGGATGTGTTCTCCAAAGAAGCCTTTGACCAATTGCCCCCCCGGAAGCCCTGGGACCACGCTATAGACCTGGTACCGGATGCCAAACTGCCCAGGGGGAGGACCTTCCCACTCTCGCGCCCGGAACAGAAAGAACTGGACGAGTTCCTACGCGAGAACCTACAGAACGGGCGCATACGGCCGTCCAAATCCCCCATGGGAGCACCAGTCTTCTTCGTCAAGAAGAAGGACGGGTCCCTACGCCTGGTCCAGGACTACAGGAAGCTGAACGAGATCACGGTGAAGAACTCGTACCCGCTCCCCCTCATCTCAGACGTCCTCGCCCGCCTCCGCAACGCCAAATACTTCTCAGCCTTAGACCTACGCTGGGGGTTCAACAATGTCCGGATCAAGGACGGAGACGAGTGGAAGGCGGCATTCACGACCAACCGGGGGCTGTTCGAGCCCATGGTGATGTTCTTCGGCCTGTGTAACTCCCCGGCAACCTTCCAGACCATGATGAACGACATCCTGAGGGATTTCATCGACTGGGAGGTTGTCATCTGTTACATGGACGACATCCTGATCTTCACGGCCACCCTGGAGGAACATCGAAGGGTCGTCCGAGAGGTCCTAGAGACGCTGAGGAGAAGGAGGCTCTTCCTCAAGCCAGAGAAGTGTAAGTTTGAGCGAACCCGGATCAAGTACCTGGGCCTCGTTATCTCGGAGGGTAACGTCGCGATGGACCCGGTGAAGATCCAGGGTGTCCTCGACTGGCCCCCCCAACCAAGGTGAAAGAAGTACAATCCTTCCTAGGATTCGTAAACTTCTATCACCGGTTCATCAGAGACTTCTCTGAGAAGGCCTGCCCCCTTCACAGGCTGACCCGGAAGACCCAAACCTGGAACTGGGGCCCGGATGAAGACGATGCCTTCCGTGCCCTCAAGGAAGCCGTCACCACAGCCCCCATCCTCTCTTTCCCTACCGACCACGGCCCCTTCAGGCTCGAGTGCGATGCATCCAACTTTGCAACCGGCGCGGTCCTCTCCCAGCTCCAACTGGATGGAGAGTTCCACCCGGTAGCATTCATGTCCAAGAGTTTCACGGATGTAGAGCGCAACTACGAAGTGTACGATAAAGAGATGCTTGCAATCGTCCGAGCCCTCGAGGAATGGCGACACTTCGTGGAAGGTGCTGAAGAGAAAGTCGAGATCTACACCGACCACCGTAACCTGGGCTACTTCCGGACGGCCCAGAGGTTAAATCGACGTCAGGCCAGATGGTCCCTTTTCCTCTCCCGCTTCCATTTCACCCTCGTCCACCGCCCAGGGAAGCTCATGGGGAAACCAGACGCACTCTCTCGCCGCGCTGACCACCCGAAGGGAAGGGACGACAATGAGGGGCTGACCCTCCTCCAACTGGCCTGGTTCGAGGCCCGTGCGACGGAAGCAGTCTCAGTGGAAGGTGAGGAGGCGGATATCCTAGAGAGGGTACGAGGAGCGAGAGATCATGACGAGCAGGTGGTAAAGGCCATGAGGGAACTGGGAGAAGGAACGTTAAGGTCGGACGAGTGGGAGAGACAGGGAGAGTTGGTCCTCTACCGAGGCAGGGTGTATGTTCCAAAAGACCCACAACTCCGCCACGATCTGGTATGGCTACACCACGACGTGCGGGTGACGGGACATCCAGGGCGATGGAAAACCCTAGAGCTCGTCTCCCGCGACTACTGGTGGCCTCGGATGGCAGAATATGTCGGGCGATATGTACGTGGATGCGACACCTGTAACCGCGTCAAACCCTTCCCTGCACGGAAGGTTGGGAAGCTCACCCCAAATAAAGTTCCCACCCACCATTGGCAGGTGATCTCGGTAGACATGGTGGGAGAGCTCCCAGAGTCAAAAGGTTATAACGCCATCCTAGTTGTAGTGGACCGTCTGTCCAAACGCATCCACGTGATCCCCACCGTGACATCCGTGGACTCGGCTGGTATCGCCCGGCTCTTCCTAGAGCACGTCTGGAAGCACCACAGGCTCCCGGAAGAGATCCTTAGCGACAGAGGGAGCACCTTCGTCTCGCGCTTCTCAAAAGAACTTGCAGATCTCCTGGGGGTCAAGCTAACCCCCTCAACGCCCTACCACCCCCAGACTGACGGACAGACAGAGCGGGTTAACCAGGAAATCGAGGCCTATCTTCGGGTGTTCGTCAACCACCGCCAGGACGACTGGGCGGACTGGCTCCCACTGGCAGAATTTGCCTACAACAACCGCGTCCACTCGTCCACCCGTCGAACCCCCTTCGAGCTTGACACCGGGCAGCATCCCAGGATGGGGACGGAGCCCACACGTACGTCCAAGGTAGAAGCCGCCGACACCTTCTCGTCCAGGATGATGAAGATGCAGGAAGAGGCGAAGGCGGCCCTGGAGCATGCAGCGGACGAGATGGCCCGCTACTACGACCGAGGTCGAGAGACAGCCCCCAAGTACCAGGAGGGTGACCGAGTCTGGCTCAGCGCCCAAAACTATACGCCTGACCGCCCGACCAAGAAGCTAGACCATAAGTGGCTAGGCCCCTTCAAAGTTGTCAAGGTCATCTCCCCGGCTGCCATCAAGCTCCAGCTCACCGCATGGCAAAAGGGAATTCACCCAGTCATATCTGTGACGAACGTAAGACCCTACCGCCCGGACGAGATCGCAGAACAACCCCCCAACCCCCGCCCGGGCCCAGAACTCGTAGATGGAGAGGAGGAATATGAAGTGGAAAAAATACTGGACTCAAAGTGGTTATGCCGGAAGCTCTGGTATTTAGTAAAGTTCGCGGGTTGGCCGAACTCAGAGAATGAATGGCTCCCCCGAGACCAACTAATCCATGCCCCTGACCGGATCGAGGAGTTCCACCAAACACACCCCCACGCCCCAGGGAGGGAGAGAACGAACCCCCTGGCCGCTTTGAGGCGAAGCGGCTTAAGGAGGGGGTGATGTCAGGGCACACCCGCCTGACCCGGGCCCACCCGGCCACACCACACCCGCTCCCCGCTGTCTATCCCCCTCCCCCCTCCTTCCTCCCTCTCCTCCCCTTTCTTTTCCCTCTTCTTTCCCCTTTTCTTTATTTCATTCTTCTCACCTTCCTCTTCCTGTTTATTTCTTTCTATCTACACGGACCACCTTCCTTTGTATCGATGTACTATTGACCCGTCCGGCCCACACACCCCGGACGGCTTCCCGCTGTGCCCAGCACGCGCGCATGCAGCGGACGCTCTCGGGATCCCCCACGGGGACACCCGGATGCCTGCGGCTGCCCCCGAGGATGACGTGGCACCTGTCATGTGACTCAAGCCGCATGTACATAAATGTACCTGAAGTGGGAACCGAAGAAGTAACCTTCTTCTCACATTCTCCACTTCAGGTAAGTAGTATAGTTTTCCCCTCTAATAATAATAACACATTCTCCACTTCAGTCTGAGTGGCCAGGGACCACTGTCCCGGATCGGGCCCGCCAGTACGCACGCCTGCTCCACACCCCACGACAGCCTCAGTGCCGGATACTACCCCCAGGCCCTCTCGACCCCGGACGCGTCCCTGACACTGTGAGACGTCCAGCTTGCGATATAGCAGCAAGCCGGTTCACTCCCCAGTCTATGCAACTGGTAGTTGTGCAAATCGATCAAATGGCAACTCCTGCCAGCACAGGGAGCCATTTGTGATCCCAAAAAATGTGGAAAAAACTTCCACATTGTATACATTGTCTCACATTAACTGTCAGACATCCAGCCCGCAAAATCGCAGCATGCTGGTTCACTCCCCACTCTATGTGACTGGGAATTGTGCAAAACAATCGAACAACAACTCCTGCTTGCACAGGGAGCTGTCTTTGATTGTAAAAAATGTGGACAAAACCTCCACATCGTCGTTACCGTCTTGCAACTATAGTGAGACATCCAGCTCGCCGCCTAGGCGTGAGCCGGTTCAAACCCCAGTCTATAAGACTGGGAATCATCAAAAACCCTCATGGGATGACCCCCACTTGTGCAGGGAGCCAGTCCTGAGTGGAGGAAATGTGGAAAAAACTTCCACACCACCGACACCATCTCACAACCACTGTGAGACACTCAGCGCTCTGTCTGAGAACGAGTGTATACACTCCAACATGGATATAAAGGCCATGTCATCCAGATCGACACAGACTCACAGGTTAAGCTCACTTCCGGACTGTCCTCAGATGGCCTTGGACCCAGCGTGGACACAGCAAAGGGACCAGGTGCAGGAGGATGGGGAAGCTCCCCGAAGTCGATTGTCCAAGAAACTTATGGACTTTTTCCAGGTCCCATCCGAATGGAGGACAACTTCGGATGAGGTCACTGAAGTCTGTAGGAGTGCAACGTGGCAGAAGAAGGAGCCTAGTAAGGAGAACCCACAAATGAGCAGGCAACCATCAACACCAGGCCCCATCTTAGGCGATAAATGGCCCTCCTCAGTCACTTCACCCAGGCAAAGGATAAGTGGAAGTAACCTTCCGCAAAACCCCTCCAGTAATGCTGGAGAGAACCAAACAAACCCTCGTGAAAACTTCACAAGGAAAACTTCCAGTAAAACATTGCTGGAGGACAACTGGCACCTCGAAAGATGGTACCACAAGGCCACACGGATGGCCAAACTTCTAACTTTCACCCCGCACATAGACAGGGTGAAGTGGGACTGGTTAAATAACGGTCCTACTCGACTCCCTGACACGAAGTGGTCAGGCGAAAACAATACAGAAATTTTCTGGCAGTGGTACACCACACTGCTAGGATTCCTCACAGCACGAGGATATAGAGGTGCACACTACAATGAAATCCATCTGGATTGTCTCATTGGTGGATTGGCAGAGCCTGCACTCTCACACGGACTAAAACTCCGTGAAGAAGCCCTCCTTAGAGATAAAGGGGGGAAATTTCTTGAAGTTCTCGAAATTTTAATGAGGACATATATCAAGGAGCTCACCACATTGAAGGTGATGGAAAAAATACTGCAATGTAAAGTACAATGCAGGAAAAGGACCCAGACAGTCCTACCCAGAACCATCGCTTAATGCTAGGTTTCTGGAAACATCCTCCCTGAATGCAAGGAGGAAATAATCAAAATGGGATTCTCCTCTTTCGAGGAGATGTTCAGAACAACATCTCGCATGGACGAGATGAAAAACAGGCTGAGGATAGCTCCAGCCTACAGGCCAGAATGCTACACCAGACCTGAAACCACCACGACCACAAATCGCAAAAAGCCCAACCAGACGGGAAAGGAGAAACACGCAGAGGCAAGAGCCAATGTGCAAGACCCTAAACCCAAATGGAAAGGCAAATCCTCCCTGAAGCAGTCAGGGAACACCGACCAAAGGCCAGTACAAGTACGCAATAATTGCAGAATACCAGAGCGGACAAAGAGCCGCCCTGAGCGCCAGTTAGTAGGAGACAGAAACCCAAGGCATAGGATCGCCAGGGAAGTCGACTACAAAACAGAAGGCAAAGTTGGAGACGACTCCGAGGAAGAAGAACCAGAGAATATCCCTGGTGATTTCGAAGTGGAGGACACCTCCAATGACTTCGAACCAGAGGACCCAAACAAGGGACCTCACTACTCGCCCAGAAGAAAGGGCGAGGACATCAGTGTTGGGACCATAATAATGGCCCCAAGATCCGACGTCATTGAAAACAATGACGAAAAAAATACACTAAAACTGGCAATAAGCCAGACCAAAAAAAGAACTACCAACTCTTTGGTGACGACACCAAAGAGGGATTCCCCTGAGGAAAGTCACTCAGAAGACAACACCCCTGAGGAAAAAACCTCGGAGGGAGACCCACTGAAGGAGGACCCTTCGGAAGAAACCACCCCGGAGTCTCCAGAAGAAGACAAGCTCTGGGTGGAGTTTATACTCGGCTAGCTAGCAGCCACAATCTGCCCTCTCCCCAGTAGAAATACTGGGCTGCATCACACACGATTGGCCAACAAGGCCAATCAGCCCTCCTCGTACCTGAAGGAGGACCAAGAATTGGCAGATAAGATCAAGTAGAGATCATAACTCCCACTTGTGCAGACAACCCAGTCCGCACAATCTTGCCACCAACTATTGGCAGCCTTCCTCTCATACCGAGAGGTTTTTGAAGGTCTACCTGACCATCGACCTATAGTAATATGGTATAGTTTAACTCCTCAGACTGAGGAGACTCCATTGTGTCTGGAAGTGCTCCAGGCCCTCTTTTTTTTTTTTTCTTCTTCTCTGGCTCTTTCCTTGGGAAGGCCATAAACACAGTGAATGAGAAAGTCACCGATGCTTTGGTAGAAATACCAAAGAAAGAAACAACCCAGTCCTAGCTCAGAGGAACTGGAACTCCCAGATAAATACCATCTGGAAAGCAATTGCTCAAGGAACCAAACTCCTTGAACTCGCAAACAGGGATAAAGCTGAATAACTCGGCCCAACCTATGCGATACTCATTTTAAATCCATTTTAATTATAAATTTGCTCTGTTTTGAGCAATACAACTTTTGTACTAATTTCCAAAGTCCTAATGCCCCTACAGCATTGGTTTCTCAGACTTTGGTTCTCTATTCCATCTTCTTCATGTTGCAAGTGTGTGACATTGAATTGCGTCGCAGAGTGTGACACTTAGATGTGTCACAGTGCGTGACAGAAATTCCTGTCATGCCCCCAACCGAGTAACTTCAGGTAAAGCCAAGCAACTCAGCTTAAGTCACCTGACATTCATCATGGTGTCAAATCAAAAGGGCAACTGTGTGGTCTCAGGTTTAACCCCACTTATCAATGGCAGGGAAAAACTCGGATAAACATCTGAGGGATAACAATAGGGGAGAAAACATCCCTAATACAATTCCTTGATAGGGGAATTCAGTTTGCTTCCAGTGCCAGCCTGAGACCTCTGGCTGACCACAAACGCAAACAGATCAAACTGGCATTAGAAGACCAGTTGTAAGGAGTCATCATAGGCATCATGCCTATGAACCCGAGATACTCTCGAGACCAAATAACCTAGAGGAAGCTCTAGGGGGGAGTACCCAAACCCGGGAAGCAACCACATCCCAACAGACTTGGGATATGATTCCATCCAAGGAATTGTCCACAGGCAGACACAACAACGTCCACCTGATCCCATTAAAACAACCATGAATGCATTAGAACTAGCATTCATGTTTCTTCATGAAGTTGTATGACTTCACAGACTACCACACTCGATCACATCAGATCAAGATTCAAAATTCACAACAGAAAGTAGTACAGATACTACACGCGATGGTCAGACCAGATCAATGCAACTGGGCAGCAAAGCTGTCGATGGCAGAATTCGCAATCAATGCAAGCTCGAACACATCGACAGGATTTGCCCCGTTCGAATTAATCTATGGCCACATGCCAAAGATGCGCCTAACAGCACCACCCTCGGACTACCCAGGAGTGAATGATTTCGCCCAAAAGGCAAAGGAAAACCTAATGGCAGCACACGATGCGATAATACACAATCATGCTGCTCAAACAATCCAGGCGAATAAGAAAAGACGCCTGGACCTGCCTTTGAGAAAAGGCGAGCTTGCATACTTATCCACGGATAAGTTGAACCTACCCAAAGGGAGGGCAGGCAAACTAAAGCCCTTATACAATAGGGCCTTACGAAATTCTGGAAACATTTCCAGAGACGTCAAACTACATCCTCAAGTTGCCACCTGTCAGGGACGCGTCCGGGGTCGAGAGGGCCCGGGGGTAATGCCCGGCACTGAGGCCGTCGCGGGGTGTGGAGCGGGCGTGCGTACTGGCGGGCCCGATCCGGGACAGTGGTCCCTGGCCACTCAGACTGAAGTGGAGAATGTGTTATTATTATTAAAGAGGAAAACTATACTACTTACCTGAAGTGGAGAATGTGAGAAGAAGGTTACTTCTTCGGTTCCCACTTCAGGTACATTTATGTACATGCGGCTTGAGTCACATGACAGGTGCCACGTCATCCTCGGAGGCAGCCGCAGGCATCCGGGTGTCCCCGTGGGGGATCCCGAGAGCGTCCGCTACATGCGCACGTGCTGGGCACAGCGGGAAGCCGTCCGGGGTGTGTGGGCCGGACGGGTCAATAGTACATCGATACAAGGGAAGGTGGTCCGTGTAGATAGAAAGAAATAAACAGGAAGAGGAAGATGAGAAGAATGAAATAAAGAAAGGGGAAAGAAAAGGGAAAAGAGGGGGGAGGAGAGGGAGGAAGGAGGGGGGAGGGGGATAGACAGCGGGGAGCGGGTGTGGTGTGGCCGGGTGGGCCCGGGTGGGCCCGGGTCAGGCGGGTGTGCCCTGACACCACCACAACTTGAACAACACAGAATCCACCCAAGATTCCACATATCCCAGCTCGTACCTCACAAGCCGAATGACCAAGAAATCTTCCCAAATAGGGAAGTAAACATATTCTATGATTTGGGGAAGACCCCGATCGTGAAGCAGTAGTTTGCAAAATCTTAAACCACGCGTGGGTTCACAATGAACTCTGGTTTAAGGCCAAATGGGAGCTAGGGGACACCACATGGGAACCCCTAGGAAATTGTAATGACCTCGTCCACCTGGACGAGTACCTCACATTACAAAATGTGAGGGAACCGGAAAATCTCCCGATCTAAGAAGATACAGAACTTTCGGCATCACTACGCCCCCAAAAACGGAGGCGGAAAAAGTGAAGCTGAAGGGTGATCACCCACAGCCAAGAGCATGGGAAGATTCTGGGCGAGCAACTCGCCCAGACAGCCACACCATGGGCTAGGCGAGTAACTCGCCTAGACCACGTGATCCCCAGGCTCATGTGTAAAACCATATGCAGTACAAACTGCACTGATGGCACAACAAGTGCCATTCCAGGGGCAGCAATTGCTGCTGCTGCCCCAGGCATACTCCCCAGGGAACTTCCCTGGCCAAATCACTCCCTGGATTGGCCAATTTGGCCCAGATCCGACAACCCAGCCAAATATAGGCTGGGAATCAGCTATTGCATCAGCGGTAGCTGCCCAGACAGGTCAACTTCATCAGGAGTTGAAAGAGATAAAGTCCCTCATAGGAGGGAGATGAGGGAGCGACAGCGGCTCCTTGTCCAGGCCGTCCAAACGGGCATGGTCTGACAACTCAAGGGTGTCAGATGATGCCTGCGATAATTGCGCCCATTGGAGGCATGAATACAATAGGGCATGCAGAGATGCTTCGGCATCTTTGCCTCTCTGAAAGACACAGAGAGAGAAGTCGACCTCCAGAAGAGGGAGATCGAGTTGTTAAAACGCGAGCTTGAAGAGGCATGCCCACTGGCAGACCTCGCTGCCAAACCCATTATGATGGGGGCCTCCCAGGTCAGGGGGAGGGGATACAGTTCCGGGCCTCATGAGGTGCGACCCCATATGGGGACTAGCGCACCAAGGGGTGGGGCACCGACTATCCCGCCACCCCATGGGCAGGCGACCCTGTCCGGGTTGCATAAGGGCCCGCCCTCAGGAGGGCAAACCCATGTCGAGGGGAGATGGGAAGACGGTAGGCAGCCAATGACAGACCCCCAAAAGGGGACCACTACCAGAGGCAGCGGGCCGCCAAGGACCATGACACCCTATGGGCAAGCCACCCTACAGGGAAGTGTCCACATGCTTTTCGAGATGGCCAAAGCCAACAAATTCTCGGCCCAACCCAAGCTGAGAGCAAGCTATCACCCCCGGTGATAGTGGACAACACAAGCCAACTCCGAAAGGAGTTGGATGAGACAGAATCCCTCATGAAAGGGAAACGAGAGAGTGAGACAAGCTCCTCACTCAGGCCATCCAAATAGAGACAACCTGATTACTCAGAGGTGCCAAGAAATGCTTAGGAGAACTGTGCCACCCAGAGGCAGGAGTACAAGATTCGCATAGAAGTGCAAAGGATTATGTCAGAGACCAGGTTGAGATGAGGGAAAGTCTCCATGGCAGAGGGCTTCGGCCTCAGCAACTTATGCCAGGAGCGCTGTGCCAAGTAACACGTCCATGCCCTAACTTACTAACTGGCAACCAGAACTGAAGGGGGGTAAACTCTAGTCAATTTTATTACTGAAGTGTAACCTATGTACAAGTTGGATATATATATATAGTTACAGCGAAGACGGGTCCGCAAATGGCAGAGCCAAGCAGAGCGGAGCTAATGGGGTTAAACATTATTAGCCAACTGAATATTACTGACAAGTCGGGTTACGGGGTTAACGGAAAGGCAGGCGATAACCCAGAAATGGAAAGGAGGGATAGGCCTGAAGGTGGGCTCTGCAGGGCAGGAGAGTGTATTGCCCAGCGGAGGCAGGAGTGCGCTAGTGGACATCGGAGCTGTCCGGAAGTCTTCAGGGCTCCGTACTTAGGGAGGCATAGGTAATAAATTGAAAGGAGGGGGTGGTGACCATCGAGGGGTACCGAGGGGATTGCGGAATACGGGAGCTCCAAGGTTAGTGGAGAAGGAGCGGAGGTAGACCGGAGGGATCGGAGGTACCGGAAGTCGTTGGCCAGGGATGGATATGACAGATTACCTCTCTCCAAAATGAAGAGAAACCGATTTCCAGAAATCGAGGAACTTGAATGTGAGCCTGAGCTCACTTGCGCACGGGCAGAATCCCACTGCCAAGTCCACCATGATGGGGCCTCCCAGGTTAGGGGGAGGAGATGTGATATTGGGTCTCAGAAAGTGTAACCCAGACAGGGACTAACACAACTGGGATGGGATACCACAATTCTCGCTACCCTGTGGGTAGGTGACCCTGTCCGGACTGCAGAGTGGTGCTCCAACAAGAGCACAGACCCAGATTGAGGGGAGGAAGGAAGGCAGTAGGCAGCCAATAGCAAACCCCAGGCTGGGACCACTGCTAGAGGCAGCGGGCTGTCAAGTACTTCGACACCCTA